CAGATTTGTTCATTTTGTGATGATATCTTCAATTCTCTAATTTTGGTGAATATTTTTGTCATTTTTGGTAAAAAGTGATATTTTCGACTTCTTGTTGAAAACTGTAAGTCCGATTGCTTTGATATTACATATATAGGTACTACATGTGGACCTCTCTCAGATTTGTTCGTTTTGTGATGATATCTTCAATTCTCTAATTAATTTATTTTGGTGAATATTTTTGTAATTTTTGGTAAAAAGTGATATTTTCGACTTCTTGTTAAAAACTGTAAGTCCGATTGCTTTGATACTATTCATATTGTTCATTTTCTAATGATGTCTTCAGTTCTTTAATTGAAATGTGCATTGCTAACAGCGGAGCTATCTCAGCCGATAGGCTGCTTGTTTAGAAAAGTTATTTTTTGTTTTCTTTTTTAGATTGTAGTTTTTTTTAAATTTCTTTCTGTAAGACCCTTTTTATCTTTTCCTAAGGATTTTATGCGTCTAATAAAAAAATAAAAAATAAAAATAAATATAAAATTTGGGAAAGTAAGGGGTGAGGTGAGGATTACCACAGGAAAGATAAAAAAAAATTGTTTAACATTGTAACCATGTTTCATGGCTTAACAGTCACATTTTTGGCATTTCAAAAGCTACCACTCAAAGAGGTATTGAAACTTTGGGTTCATAGCAGGTAATAACTGAATAGAAAACGTGTGAACCATGTTGTGTTGTTCACCATTCACTGTGAAATTTATGTTGAGTCTCCCCGTAAAGCATAAACCAAACTGCCCTTGTCAGGGTCATCACACACTTCCAAAACAGTCGCGATTTTTATGCAATGAAACACACTGTTTACATGCATATTTAAATAAATGTTAACCCTTCATCAATGCGGTAAAAATCATCCTGTGCTTCTAACTGTGCATGACCTCAACTTGTCCCTCAGGGAGGGAAGTGCGGTTTTATAATGTTTGTTATTTGTTTTCTCCAGCCATGTATCATTTCAATTGAAGATGTCTTTGAAACAGATGATGTGCTGTACATTATACTTGAACTGTGAGTTCTGATTATTGAGATTACTCTATTACATTATTTTTCTTGTAATAAATAACATGGTTATACTACTGTAAAATGACTATTATAAATTTTCACTGGGTTTAAATTTCCCCGATTCACCTTTTCGGGCATATTCAGTGGGTTTTAAGTTCACGGTTTTATCATTTAAGATAATGTGTTCTATGCTAAATTTTACATATTCACTGAGTTTTATTTTAGCACATTTTCCAGTCAGCGAAATAAGCAAGATTAAAACCTAGTGAATCATTAACCCTTTTACAGTATGTCTCTTGCGCATGTACCTAACCTGCTGTGACTTAATGTTAAGCTTGTCCACCCAACATTAGAGAGAGTGTGGGTTGGACTCCGGTGGCCAGTTCTCCACTCAGCTTGTAGTGTTCAGTGTGAAAATATAAAATTGACTATCCTATTCTCAGTGTATGTAAAGAAATCGCAGTATTCTTGTCACAACGTGTCACGGATTACCGCATAATGGCTTAAATTAACCTTCATTCTAGATTCTAGTGGATTTGCCCGTTGATGTAATATTGTCATAACCACCATTACTGTGGACAGGAAGCAAATTATAAATATTGTATCTGTTACTAACGGTAATTAAAGTGGCAATAGCTCGGATTTGGAACATTTTTTTTTAACTAGAAATATTGTTTTGGACACAATTGCATGGGCAAAGTGACCCTATACAAGGCTAATATAACATAAAATGTGATATGAAAACTGAGGGTTGAGTAGCCGCCATTTTGTTGAAATCCGTCACGTAATGGGGACCATGGAAAAATACAGCACATGACGCACACTTTTATTGGAAATAACATATCAAATCATCAATGATAGGATTAGCCTCGCAGGATGACAGCGTATTTGAAATTTCAATAGATGACACCCTCTGAGATCTATACACAACCCTGCGGCCATATTTTTTCACCTGAGTGATTTAAGTACAACAACAGTACATAACGTGTCCACATTTTCGCAATGGATTACACAGGAAATGGTTTATTAAAAATAAAATTTGGAGAAAATAGATTGATAGTTACAGCTTTTCCCATTTAAAGTATTGTTGTTGTGTCTCCTAGACACAGTGTCTAATCTACTATTCATGTTTCAGGGTTGAGGGTGGTGAACTATTTGACAGGGTAGTTAACTCAGGAAAAATTGATGAATCAACCGCCAAATTAATGTTTTATCAAATGCTAGTGTCAACTAAGGTAAGCATTACTGTAACACTTACTGTTATTGTTAGATTGTTGTCAAGTACATGAAACAACCTCACTTTAGATGGTGGTAATTATGTGTACCTGTAATATGAAGTATGATTCATGTATCAATGGAGTTGGTCTTGATTATAACTGCCATCGTACTCTATAAATGAAAATGGCATCTAATCTGCAAAGTGTACTTATTCAACATCACCTCACCTCTCTATCCCTTGTCAGGTCCTGTATTAAAGTATGTTTCTTTTGTTTTATGCCATAAAAGTATGCTTTCACCAACTCTGATTGAGCACATGTTTTACATGTCTGAGCATAAATATTTGTACTGAGGTCAAATAAACAAATTCTCTCGATTCGTGCACATGTTTGTGAGGGAGTGTATTTACATGTACATCAAGTTTGTGAATCCGTTGTTTCGTTGGGAATGTTGTACCTGTTTTCTCTGGTGAGCAAATTGAGGTTGTAAGACCACTATATCCTGCATTGATAGATTCTTTTCATTATTTCCGCTGAATAAGTAAATCCAGTTACCTATTCTAAATCTACTGTTTTTTTCGTTGAAAATAAATACACTTAATCAATCATTCGTAATACGGCTGCTACCATGGTAATGATCGTCATAGTGATTGAAAAGTTGGATAGTCTGTTACAAATCATACAGTTGTTATGTTCAAACTACACCATGTACTGATAAAATAACAATCTCCAATTTACCTTGCGTTCATAAAGTTGTTACTACTTGGCTCTTAGAGATACATCACACATGATTTGTTGAATTGGGTCAATATGTAAATGAACTCCTAGATCTACCCACAGCAGTATACAAGTCATCTAGATTTATACAATATCAGCGTAAGGGTTGTTTGAGCATCAAGAAAGATTTTGTGTAAGTGGTGGGTGGTACGATTCATTACAAAATTCATGTTTATCTTGTTCTTGTTTGCAGTACCTCCACGATAGAAGAATTACGCACAGGGATCTCAAGGTAAGGGAGGTTGTTATCATTTCATAGTTGGTTTGTTTTAGTGACATTTATTCTGCTGCTCATCTTTTAATATATGCATACTCTATTTGCTTTATGAGTAGTTTACGCCCTCATAGTCATACTGAGTCATTTTTCAATGAGGTAGCGTACTATAAATGCCATTTTTGTTTTATGTGCACTTCTTTTTAGAGATGCGCTTCTAATAGAGTAAATATAGCATTCTTTATATATAGAAATAATAATAAACAATACATGTTGATTAGCCAAGTCTATTGTATGCAAATTAACCTTTTCACCACCAGTTCCCTCAAATTCACAAAATAGTCCTGTTTATAGTCTGCACTTTCCTTCAGAAGACTGGAACAAAAAAAAAACATAAATTTTTTTGAGTAAAAATTGAAAATTTACTAAAATTTTGTCTGCTGGCTCCAAAATTAGTGTTCATTTCCAGAAATATTGATAAATAATAAGAAAAAGGTGCAGACACATTTGGGCGAGAAAGTCTGGTGGTGAAAAGTTTAAGGTTGACTATTCTTCTAGTTTTATTGTGATGATACACACTGTTGTCGTAATGTCTAGAATCAGTGTTTTCAGTATAATGTAAACATGCTTCTTTCAAGCCATGATTGTGTCTTCTTTTGTACATTTCTCTTTTATTGCATAAACAGAATACAAAGCCCATGGCTGATCATAATCCATAATGTGTTGTTTTTTTCAGCCAGAAAACGTGCTGCTTGCATCAGATGCCCACGAACCTTTAATCAAAATAACAGACTTTGGCTTATCCAAGTTTGTTGGTGAGCATTCATTAATGAAAACACTTTGTGGTACACCAACGTATCTTGCACCGGAAGTGTTAACTACAGCTGGTATGGGTGGATATGACAAAACTGTAGATTGTTGGAGTCTTGGAGTTATACTCTTTGTTATGTAAGTTTCTATGCATTAAACTACTGTAAAATCTGTATTAGAAGCTGTGGCTTCTATTAAAATGGTACAATGCAACAGTGGGAATGTGGCTCCTATTAGAGCATCTACACATATGAGAAATGATGAATTTTTGGTTCTCAATTATTCAAAAAGAATGGGTGCGACTTTTATTAGGGATGCGGCTTCTAATACAGATTTTACGTTACTATCATTTTGCCAGTTTTGACGAGTTCCAGTTGTGAAAATGTTGGCAGTGTGGAATGACAGAATCTAGTAAACACAGGACTGTCATGTAGTCCCGAATATGGTTAGCAACTGTTGCCTGACACACACACATGCACGCACGCACATGATGATGGTCATCGCGCCACACATGTTTGACATCTGTGTTGATAAACATTGCTTTTCCCACAATTCAATGCACTCTTCTAATGGAATTATGAGAACCGGTACGTGTACTAGTTTTGACATGGGCATGACATACATTAATTACTGTCGATGACTTTACCTAGCTTGGTAAAATCTTAATTTGTACTTGCTGGTCCGTGCAAAAGTTGCCATCTTTGTTCATAAGAGACCCATATCTTGGAACCATGCTTTAAAAATGGTTATTTATAATTGATAGTACATTCATGCTGTACATCGGATATTACTAAGTTTAGATGAGGTCTAATGTAACAAGTGTCTCTGTTCTCTCTCACAGGCTTGGTGGGTATCCACCGTTCTCAGATGAGATAAAAGGAATGAAACTACATGACCAGGTTCTTAATGGCCATTACAGTTTCCCAGTGCAATTCTGGAGGAATGTGTCCCATGATGGTATGAACTCTATTTCTGCAATATATGTAACTGTATTGACAAGTCAGCTGGGAATATATTTTATTACTGGCAGTGTTCTCCACAGGAAACTAGCATATAGCAAGGATAATTTGACTTTTATTTTTTACTCTTGTGTTTGACACTCTTGTGTTTGTGTTATCATATGATAATGGGCAATGAAAAAGCTGTGCATTAATTACATAATTCACATAAATTAACAAATTCCTGTAATATTTCAAGAACCACTATACAGATTGATAAAACTTGTCTCATAGATAATCTTGGATTATTACAAGACAAACAAATAAAATGAATGGTGGATTAATATTATTGATTTGTTTGAAACAGGAATTGATCTTATCAAGAAACTAATGACTGTAGATCCAAAACAGAGGTTTACTACAACACAAGCACTTAACCATATCTGGTTGAAAGATGAAATTATGATTAAAAAAGCTCACAAGTTAATGTACCCTGAAGCGGACCCCAAAACAAACCCCAAAAATGAATCAATGATGCCTCCTCCTGCTGCTCCGGTAAGTACTTATAAGGCTATCACAAGAAAAGTTGTAGATGTATGTATAATATGAGGTTATTACGAGGATACCTTAAAGTATGCACGAAGACAGTACACAAAGACAACAGTTGACTTGTTACCAGGGGAACACAATAAATGACCTGCATGTAGTAACCATGGTCAACATAACAGCTGACTTGTTACCAGGGGAAACATCAGGAAAGAGTGAAACATTTCTGAAAAGACTTTTAAATTAGAATACTTATGATACATTGATGAATGCAACATGTGACTACCTGATACTCTTTTATCACAGGTATGTGTTGCAAAGAAGAGACATCATCCATCAACGGACAGTACAGATAGTGAAGACAGCGTATCAAGTACTAAAAGACCATCGATGGATGATGACAATGAAAAGACGCTTAATAATACGGTTTTTGTTTAGGTGTTGATCTTTGCTGTCAATAGCATAAATTTTTATTCTAAACTATTCTAACAAGTACACATGGATGCAGTGTCCCTAGGGGTGTACCGTTCTGACAAGTATCTGGCAGATGAGTTTGGAAGTGCAGAGTCTTTTTGGGGTGTACCGCTAGTATGAGTAATATATCTATATTAAAAATTATCTTCTATTTGTCATCCTTTGTATGGCACCAAAATATTATAATTCAAACTCAAGTGCACCTTTTGAAATGTCCATTTTAATAGGGTGCTTTCAGTATTGTTTGATGCCGGTTCTAGAGAACAATTTCCAGTTTTTCTTGGTCAGTGCTGTATATTGGTCAGTCCTCTTTAATGAATGAAGAGAGCATAGCCTGCTCCATTGTTCAACCATAGCATTAATTTGTTCCTGGTCAGTTGTCCTAAATTTTGTTATACTATTACCAGGGTATTTGCATTACAACCTGTTGTCTTTTTGCATTAATGTTGGTTGTGTTTACACTTTTAGTATTGCGTTCTCAGAATTTTATTTGAACAAATTCAAATTCTTCACTTGATTAGTTAAAATATTTTTTTTATATCTAATGTAGACTTTGGGGCTCTTATTGTCAGATTTGTCACAAACTCAAACACTGACAAAAGAATTGAAACTTGAACAGTATGAATGTATGGAAAGTCAGTCAATTATTGGCCAGTAGTTTTGTATAAAGGAGGGGGGGGCTATATTTTGTACATATTAATATCCACTAACAGGGTTACTTGTGTGTTGGCTGCAGGTTTATGGAGGACCAATATTTTTTAAGAACAATTTTAGTGTTTATTCTATTTTTATTTTTTTAATTTTCTTTATGTAAATTCAGCCCATAGCAAAAATGAGTACGTGATTACAGGTATTGCCTGCATAAGAAATTCATACTTTCTGTAGCAGTAGTCATGGTAAGTTGTAATTTAAAAGCATGTTCGTGACAGGGTACACAAAGGTATGAAGTGTAAAGCGATCTGGAAGAATAAACATATATTTTCAAGTTTCCACTCTGTGTCTCTTTGTTATGATATGTTATGCATGTTCAAACATGCATGCCTTCCATATATGGAAGCCTATTTAATTTCAGGTATACTGTATTAGCTTATATGATAGAAGTACTTATAAATCAAACATTGAATCTATTGCATAATGAATCATTACTTTATTTTGATCATAGACACCCTTGCATGAAAATCATTTTGTTGAGTGCAGTTAGGCGATAGAAACTGCTAAACAGAGCCACTCTTCTGCTCTTGATCTAATTTTAATTGGATTAGCTGTTAGGTAACTATGACAATTGGGGCACAGATAAGTATGACCATTTCTTGTATGCTCTGACGGGTGTATCAAGGATATGGCATTGCTTGTTTCAGATATGAAGATAAGACGTGCCATTAAATACCAAAAGAAAAAAAAATCACAATATTGTTGAATTCCAGGGTATTGTCCTATGTTTGCAAAATTATCATTCCAATAAAGAAAGTCTATGCTATTCTGATGTACATTTTAATTGCAACCAACAAACCTATGAATGTTTTGCTCAAATTTGTTTTGTTCATCATTTACATTGACAAATTAGTGAAAATATAATTTCCAACTTGTTGGTTTTGCATCTTTGTCTGTCAATAACTGCTATTTTGTAAACTGTCAATTCATATATCGATAAACCTCAGTTCCTAATTATTTTTTAAAAACCATAGCATATATAAAATAATTTCCCAATTGTTTTTATAAAATCTAAAAGCGAATTTTCCAGTACAATACTTGTTGTACAAAACATTTATTTTGGGCTATTTTAGGTGTACACATCTATTATACTTGGTACTTGGTTGGCTATACAACACCCAGTCATGTGATGCATGAAATCTGAATCATTATTTACAGTTTTGATTCTTTTGCTGCCAGTCTCTTTTGTCTCATCTTGTATATTGGTGTGTGGAATTGATCAAAAAATGGCTGTAGTCTTGACCGCACTCTCTCAATCCATGCATTAATTTTTGGACTGTCTGGAGCAATATCTCGACCTGAAGCAGTCAGCTGCAAGAACTGAAAAAAAATAGAACAAGCATTCTGCTGTAATACAATAAAATGTCATCTTTTGCAGCAAAATAAATTTGTGAAATTTTTCTATGTAATGGATTGAATATTAGTAATTCAGGAAGAATACAAGAAATGCTTTTTCAGACAATTATTGAAATAAATAAGTAACACTACTTTATTTCCAAAAGAATCAAATTTAACACTGATATACCAGGTAATGGACATCATTTTGCAATATCCAATTTTGTCTGGAACTGATGTACTATCGAATCTTACCTCTGGTACTGCCATTATATCCGCAAGAGTGATGTCATCACCACAAAGAAATTTCTGATCTTTCAAGAATATTTTCTCAATTTTATCCATTGTGTTGTCAAATGCAGCAACTGCTTTTTTTAGTCTTGGCTGGTTTATCTCTGTGCCCCTCATTCGTGGAATAAGCACCTAAAAAAATATTGAAATTTAATGAGCTTATGTTTAAGTTAAAGGCCCAATTCACTTACCCTGGGCAAGTGTGAATTGGAGGTGTGGATATGCTAATGAGTGCTGTTAATCACTTGCATAGCCTATGACTCATCCTGTTTCAGCGGTCCAACATCCCGTGACTTTGATTGACAGTTAATTATTCAAGATTAGTAACGCGCCTTTCCCCGGTTCATGTTTTTGACTTTTATCTGCCAAAATCTCAGCTCGTACACTATTGTCATAAATACTACACACAGTCACTGCTGTGATATTCATAGTCACATGCACCCACTTTGGCACGACATAATCGACTTGTAAGTTCAAGAAAACGTGTTTTTACCGGAGCTTGGCTGGAGCTGTTTACTACAGCGTGACAAGCAAGGAAATAATCCCTATTGTTTAGGAGCGTATTTATAGTATACCTGGGCCTTTAAACTATGCAATTATCAACAGCAATATTGCAGATATTGCTTTGTGAAAAAGTATGTGTGATATCAGCAGATATTACACTACTGTCAATAACCAATACAAAATGTATATGGTATAGCAGATATTTGTTGACACTTAATCCCATCAATATCCCAGATTGTTCAAAAATTAAAAGTAGAACATTACAGATGAAAATATCTCATAACATTATGCATGCATGACTAAATATATACCTCAACCTCTGGCCACAAGGAGCAACTGTGGAGCTAGTATCGAAACATTGAAGTTCAATAATTTGGGTTTAGGACAGTAGTAATACCAAGATCATTCATTGGGCTAGGTTAGGACAGTGCCAGGGATCAAAATTGTGAAAAGTAGCCCTTGTTTCATAAGTGGGGTTTATATTGTATAGAACATTACTGGGGAGGGAATTTAGTGTTGAATTCAAAAACGATATTTGTTTTTTAAATTATTCTCACTGATAATGTTCAAATTCTTAAAAAGCAAGAGAATGTAAAGACATGCGATTGAGAATATTACCTCAGTCCAGAATACAAATATTGCATCCTTTCTGGTGTTACCATGGTGCCAAGCGAGATACTCATCCACTTTTGCCCTCTTCTGCAGATCTCGTGGATACCAGTGATCTGCAGTGTTGTATTTCGCTGCCAAGTACTTCAAAATAGCAACGCTGCAATTAAGATGTGAAGAAGTGTAGTTTCAAATCATTACTGGATAGTTTAAAAAGAATTAATTTCAAGAATTTCAGTTGCATAGCTGTAGCTCTTCGTACCTTTCTCTGAGACAGAACAGACCATCTTTTATTGCAGGCAATTTGTTCTCTGGATTAATTTGGCTGAACTCTTCTGACATGTGCTCCCCTGATAAGATGATCAATTACAAAAACACAGGAGTAATTCAAATCGTCATAAAAAAAATAACATCTCTGTGAGTTAGATGTACTCCCGGGGGGGCTACTTGCATAGAAGTGCAATACGGGTATGTGCCGCCCGACTGGGTGTCATTTCACGTTATTTTGTTTAGAAGTGGGTGGTCATTCATCAATGGTTTAGTTTAGAAGTATGTAGTATTTATTTACTTTTTCACAGATCCTTATATTCAAAGCCAAATACCGGAAAAAGCTGAATAAAATGCATCACCCGGATGCGCTCACTTGTTGCAAAAGTTGTGAGCTGGGTGTTTTTTTTTGCTGTAAACACTTGTGTTTAGAAGTGGGTATATAAATAGAAAAAAAAATGGTTTAGAAGTAAGTATGGTTTACGAGAGGTGGGCTGCACACCACTACCCACTTAATATGGAAGTAGCTGCGGATCCGTAGCTCTATCTTGCGACTGACAACTGTTTTACCTTTTTCTTTATTACTTGGACGTCTTCTTTTTAAATTTTGTATGCCAGATACCGACGACCAAAACGGCCCTCAGGGGGCTATGATTCCACAGCTAATATGGAGGTAGTCCCCCGGGGATGTACTGCATAAATATGTTAAAATTTAAATTGACTGCTATAATTTCTCACAACTATTCAAATATGTACTATGATTTGTATACACCAACGCCCAAAACGTATTGTAAGACCTACCTTTGCCAATAGATACGACTTCCTTCTCGTACGGTATACCGTTAACCTCACAGAACAACAACACCGATCTACATGGTTGCGACATTACATCGTAATACACTGTTAGGACCATTCTCAATCCAAATAAATGAAACAAACCACGAGCAGTCCTGTATCTTTGTTTAGGGGTTAAAATGCACAGCAGAGTGCAGTTCACAGTCTAACTGCATGTCGAGGGGTAATGTCCAACAAACTTTCAACACATACTTTGTACTGACATGGGGTCAAGATAATCAGGTGATCAAAACACATGATTTGTTCCGTTCACCACGAAGAGGGCGTTCTACTTCAAATTCAATAAGATGTGGATTTGGTTCGTTCATGGTTCACTCACGTTTACTTCTTTTTTAGTAACCGTGGGTGCACAGTCACCTAAAATCCAAATAAATCGATCAGTTTATTTTTTTATTATTTTTTTCCGATTTTTCATCGCTAGTAATGGAGCAACGTAATAAGAAACGTCATATACATAAACAACAGTTACTGATAACGATTGACAGTTATGGCTACCCTCATGTTGTTAGGATTGTTATCGTGAAAAATACCACTTACCAACTCAATATATTTTGTCAAAAAGTTACCAAAAAAGGACTACTCAGTGTGTATGGAATTTCATAAAGATGAATGTGAAAATACTAGTGGATAAATTTGGTATGCAAGCAGGTTTAGTGGAAAATGCCCACCGGGTAAATATTGGTGAAGTAGCCAAAACAGAGAACCGGCCCTACCCAAGACAAGTATTGGTGAAGTTCTTCAGTCGTCTAAAGAAAGAAGAAATCATACGAAAACAACGAATTGCGTTAAAGGATACAGGAATATATGTAAAACGGGATATGATTATTGAAGACTTTCAATTGAAGAAAACATTGAACGCTGTTATTAAACGTGCTTACGATGAGGGGAAACGACCTATTTTTCGAAGAGGCGTGCTGTACATTGATGGAAAGAAGTA